GTTTAAAGAATATATACTTATGTTTGAGTATATATGGGTTTGTCATTATCCGAGCATGTTTGGTAAATGGTCAAAATGACTTATAACACTTTGAGATTTTAGCTAGTGGCTTGCTTTGGCTTATTATCCACTAAAAAAAGCTACGGTATCCTAGCTAATTTTTTGGCGGATTACAAGCTACGAAGTTTGACCAAATAAAAGTCATATTTATACCTATCATTTTCTCACAAAATTCCAAGCAATGTTCTTTTCGGTGAATATTAAAGTTATGTCTGTTTTAGTCTTTTTGACAACAGTTATGAATTATAATTCACTCATTTGTCCAACACTCTACTACTAAAATTGGATTATAATCCAATAAATTTACCGAACTATGCATTATAATCTACTTAGATGCCAAACTTGCTCTTATTTACTCCAGTGGAGAGAATCCAAATCCGTACACTAAAGCTTGCATTGCTGGGTTTTTTTGTACTGATTTTATGTGCCATTTATACACTGATCTAAATTTGACAGTGGTACTTAATGATTTATATATATTTTTTAATTACTAAATAGTTTTTAGAATGCTAGTCATCTTTGTCCGTTAAGTTCGGCCGTGGGCCCAGATTTGTTGCTAGGCCGGCAGACTTTTTGCCACGTCACGCCGGCTTGGGGTGGGTCCGACCCCTCAGCTTTTCACCGCTCTCACAGGAAATAGTCGTGACCCTCCTTCTGGACTCGACCCGTTTGAACTTCCGCGTGCACACCACGTGCTATCAAACGCTTTTTGATTTTCTTTTTTTTTAATTTCTAAAAAGGAATTTTACCAAGCAAAGTTTATGGGCATAAATAACATAATAACTATACTTTGGTATCACAAAAACCTTAAACAGAACACATTGTAAGTTGTAACCATAATATATAAATTTAACCATTCAAAATTAATCTCGCTATCTTTGACTTCTATATACCTCCGCGCACAAAAAAAAAAAAAAAAGTGGATTCAGATTTTCTTTATAAAATTTGGTAAGATTATCTTTTCCTAAAGTTTTCACCTAATGTGGTCCACTCCCAACTTAATTTCCAAGCAAATTACATCATCTCATTGGCATTTGCTTAGCTCTCAATTCTGAATTATTTAACTTGATACAAAAGAAAAGCCAAAGGGATCAATTTCAATGCAATTGTTCTTTTTCAATCTAAAGATTCATTTGCCTCATATTAGATCAACATATATATGCTCATGGACCAACCTATAAGTCTCATAATAAGCCCCTCACAAAAAACACACTAATGAAGGATCCATGTTACCTAATGAGGCTCCATAACAATATCAAAATGAAAAAAGTTTTGTAAATAATTTAAAATTAGTAGGGGGCAATCAAGTAGATCTATATGGTGCCATATAACAATTCTTGCCAACTAACTTTTTTAACAACTATCTTCTAGCTTGGAATTGATGTTCCTCCATCTGTCTATCTTTTCATGTTTATGTTTAACTAATCTTGTACATGGCATGTTCCTTGGAAAACAATGCATGGTAATAATTAATTTAATAATGATTTATAAACAAAATGGTTTTTTTTTAGATATACCCCTTGGATCACGGTTATCGGCAAAATTATCATCAAATCTTAGTGTTTGCAAAACTACGCCTAATCGTCGACTTTGGAAAAAAAAATTCCCCCTCAAATCAATAAATCAATATCTTTGTTGGGCTAATTATTATATGCTAAATTTAGCTTATCAAAGTTTTTTTTTTTGGGGGGGGCGTAATTTGGAGGTGTGTATATATATACGAGTTTTCTCTAGAGTGCCCATGGGCACTCTATAAGAGAGGAGAGAGATAGAGAAAAATGAATGAGGAGAGGATCCCAATGCAAATTAGGACTCCCCTTCTTCATTCATTTCTCTCTCTCCTCTCTTATACAATGCCCATGGGCACTCTATAGAAAAACCGATATATATATACACACACCTCCAAATTACGCGCCAAATAAGAAACCAAAAAAAAAGACCTAAAAAATGAAAGGAGAAGAAAATCCATCCTAGTGTAAATTTAGGTGCTAATTATTTGTGCCCTTTAGGATTACTCCTTTTATCCCAACAAACGTGGAGGATGAAGTCTAAATGTGGAAAGGAATCTTTTAAGGCCAATATAGTTAAGATCATGAGAATCTAATTGATGTACCTTCTTCTTAGGGGGAAACGCAAGAGCCCAAATAGGAAGCATCAACATTTTTTTCTTTTTTTTTTCTTAATTAGACCCCTAATACTTACCTTTGTTTCTCATTAAGCCCTATTCTTTTGCACTATTTTGGCATTACATTTATCTCACATTTAATTGAAGACTATATAGGTTAAGGATTTTACAATGCAAAATGTTTCCTCCTTTTTCTTTCTTTTCCTCTTCCTTTTGAACCTACATTTAATTGAAGACTACATAGGTTAAGGATTTTACAATGTGAAATGTTTCCTCCTTTTTTCTTTCTTTTCCTCTTCCTTTTGAACCCAATCAATATATATAGAAAATATTCTAACGGCACGCTTTTAGAAAAATTCTTTTTGATGAATATGTTACTAGAAACATTGCCTTTCTGAAAACATGACTTGAAATTTTTTTTACATATTCTTTTTCCCCAAAATATTTATTATTTATTAGTAAAACTTTTCGTTCTTTTGACATATTTTCAAAGAGTAAATATATTAATGAAGAACCATGAACTTGTGATTGCTTTTACAATTAGGGCCTGTTCGTTTGCCTAAAAAAACGAGGGAAATCAAAGAAATGGAAAACTATTAAAATGAAGAATTGTTTTAGGGATGGAAATGGAGGAAATGGTGAGTTTTAAGATTTTCACCATTTCCATTTCTATTTCTTGGTTTTTATAAAAAAAACGAACAGGCCCTTAAAAAAAACCTCTTATGATTATAGCAACATAAAAAATTATGCCTTCTCAAAATAAACATAATAAAGTAAGAAAATTATTCATCATCATTAACTTACACATCTTACATTAAAATATAGCTTCAGTACAGACAATTCTAATTACAGGGTTGTATCTGCAAAATAAAACCCACAAATAAAAGACCGTTGCTGCGACTCCGACAAAGGCGAGACCTTTACACAAAGAAAAAGGAAAAACAAAAAAAAAAACAAAAAAAAGGGAAAAAAAAAGCCAAGCGCCATCATTAATTCAAGAGAGAGAGGGAGAGAGAGAGGCGCAAAGGAGCTCCCTTCTCTCTCTTCTTCAATGTCCTGAACCCAGATAACCCATCAGCATCCTCCTCTTTTTCTCTGTTTTCTTGCTATTTTTGGGTGAATTTTTGTGCGGTTTTGGCCGACATTTGTTGGTTATTTTTTTGGAAATGGATTCTGAGGGGATTATCTCAATGTCGGTGGCTTCGGTTGTTGAGGATGTAATTAAACAGCATGGGACGAGGCTTAGCGACATTGATTTGGCTTCAAGAAGAGCAGAGGAAGCAGGTGATTTTGTTGTTGTTTTTTTTTTGCTTGAAGTTTTGATTTTATTTTCTGGATTTTACGATTAACGTTGTTTATTGGTGACTATGGTGATATGGGCCATTTTTAGTTTCTGTAATGATGCATTATGGAGTGCAACTCAAAGTATTTTTTTACGAAACTTTTTCTTGGAGAGATTGTATTTTGGTGACCCTTTTGGTCCTTTGAAAAAAATGAAATTCGATGATTATAACAATTTTTTTTCCTGCAATGATGTATTGTGGAGTGCAATTCAGAGTTTTTTTCCACCCTGAAGAGATTGCATCTTGGTGTTCATAATTATGTTTGATTTTGGTATTTTCCCTAGGTTCCATGATAAGGATTATATTTATGATTATCATGAAATGGGTCTGTTTCAAGCTTCTGCAATGATGCGTTGTTGGAGAATTAAAATTATTCTTTTTTTTTCCATCGAGTAATTTTGGCATTTTAGTTTAGAAATTTAAGTTGACGTATTTAATTTTCTCCAAGGAGTTAATTTAGTAATAAAAAAATTTGATCATCCTACTACATAAATTCTCTATTTGGTTGCTATACATGGCCGATTTCTGGGAATTGTGTGCCCAAATAATCTGTTGGCCTAATTTTTTTCTGAGGCTTTTAAGAAATACTATACCTTGATAATATCCTGAGGGGTCTCCGTAGAAAGTTATTTTAGCTTTTTTATACGTTGGAATCAGACCATTGTGTATAAAGACAAAGAAATTTAAACTGAACTGCATGATATGGCCAAAATTGATATCTAAAAAGATTACGGCGGAGTTTTTCTTTGCTTTTGGTTTTGATGCTGAATCTTATGATTTTGGTTCGCACAGAATGAGAATTTGTTCTATGGACTTGTAACCTATATCAAGTGTGGAGTAGCAAAGCAACAAAAAGAGGGTTAATTGTGGATAGACCCCTTGCACTTCTTTGTTGCAGATAGAACCCCTGGATTCTCTACTCCTTACTTTCAGATTAAGATTGGGCTCTTCATAAGCTGAAACATATGAGCTTTGTAAACTAAATTACTAGCTATAAACTTGCATGATGATCATTACATATAACTAATTTAAACGGGAAAACTAACGGAGTTGAACATCCATGGGGTCTATCTGCAACATAGAAGTATCTAAACCCAATTAACCCAAAAAATGTACCAAGGTGTCGTAGGAAACTTGAAACTTCTGTATCAAATTCTTTCTGATTATATATATAATGACAGCGACAAGAAGATCAGATGCAGCCAGATGGCTCAGAAGAACAGTCGGAGTAGTAATTGGAAAAGATTTACCCGAACAGCCCTCAGAGGAAGAATTCAGGCTCGGGCTAAGGAATGGGATCATTCTATGCAATGCCTTTAACAAAGTTTATCCCGGTACTATTCCCAAGGTTAGGACTAGCTCTTAATTATTTCCCTTTTTCATTTTCATCATCTATAGTATTTAGCCATTTGATGTAAAATTTAGGTGGTAGAGGCTCCTGCAGATTCCCCAGATGGAGCAGCACTCTCTGCATTTCAGTACTTTGAGAATGTCAGAAATTTCCTTGTTGCCTTGGAAGAGAAGGGTCTTCCCACATTTGAGGCTTCAGATTTGGAAAAGGTGATAAATATGCGAAAAAAATTTGGCTAATCTATGGATGATGTTTGATTCTTGGTTTTCCTTAAGATAAAATGAAATTGGTTGTTTAGGTGTTGATGTTGGAGAATACGAACCATTGCTCATGTTGAGATTTTTGGAGACTATTCTTGGTTGTTTTAGATGACTTCATTATATAATGTATAGATAACCCAAGCTTCTTTGGGCAACAGTATTTTTTCTTAGGTGTCTATGGGGTTGACTATGTTGGTCGCGTAACCTGAGAGCATTTGAGCCATGGAGTATAAGATTCCTAGTTCTCTCTGTTTTTTTTAATAATTTTATTAATTACTTTGGTCAACCTATTATAAGACTAATGGGAATCCATATAATCAACAAATTTCTCGTTTATAATGTCTTTTTATTTATAGTTCTTTGCCGAATTCAAATCTTCTTATTTGATTTCTTGAACTGCAGGGTGGCAAAGGCTCCCGAGTTGTGGATTCTGTTTTGGCTCTTAAATCCTATAGTGAATGCAATCAAATGGGAAAAAATGGTTACACGAAATATGGTGGGCTAATAAAACCTACCGGCTCAATGAAGTCTTTCTTTAAGAGAAATACAGAAGCTTTCATGAATACTTTGTACAGAAATCAGTTACTGAATGATAAATCCCACGATGATCACAACTTAAATGAGGACTTCTCAATTGAGTCAACTGAAATGGTTGGTAAGCTGAATTTGTTTAATTTGAAATGCACCATTCAAGCATAACTACATATGACGATAAATTCATAATGTTTGTCTCAGAAATCTTCAGATTCTGTAAGTATGCTTGTTCGCTCAGTTCTATCAGATAAAAAGCCTGAAGAAGTCCCACAAGTAAGGACATTACTTGTGTTGTACTAGTTATCTGAACACTATTAAGGGGTATAAAGGAAATTTACGGTTTTGATCCTTTTCAGATTGTGGAGGCAATGTTGAGTAAAGTTATGCAAGAATATGAGCGACGAATTGCAAATCAAAATGAGATGGTAAGCTTTGTTTCTTTTATTTATAGTTCATAATCTCTAATATGTCCTATTTCACGGGCTAATAATGGTTCACTTAGATGATGCTAGTTAATGTCATAAATCTATGGTTTGAACAAACTTCTTATAAATCAGCAGGTGAGAAGAACTGAAAATGATATATCTGTTGGCAGAAAATCTTGTCCTGCAATGGAAATTGAATCGACTTCTGCTGTAAGAAAGGTAATTTCTATATGTATACATATCATATAAGAATACGGTTCATTTAGAGTTTATTGTCATACAAGGTTTATATAGTACAAACGATGACTATAGTATTTAATATTTTAGGTAGAAGTCGCAGAAGATAATTCAACAATGACCAATGCAGCTGACCATCAAGCAAAATTGATAGATGAAGAGTCGTCGAAGAGGAGAATTTTGAAGCAGAAGTTAATTTTTGATCACCAACAAAGAGGGATTGAGGTAGAGTTCACCCATTTTACTGCATTTTAAAGTAATTATGGTGATTATAACATGCTAATAAGGAATTATTATTAGGAACTGAAATATACACTGCATACTGCTAAGGCTGGTATGGAGTTCATGAGGAGTCAGTATTGTCAGGAGTTCAATAACCTCAGTAAGTCAAAACACTCTGGTTTTTATTTAGGCTTATTTCACTTTGGTAGCCCAGGGTTGACATTTTTTTTCTCTTTGATACCCCAAAGTATTTCTTTAACACTTTGATACCCCCAATGTTTCAATCTCATTTCACTTTGATGCCACTGCCCATATTATGTTAGATTTTCCGTTAAATTTGTATCACATGTTTAGCATGGGATACTGAACTTTTGGGGTACCAAAGTGAATACAAGCTTTTATTTAATATCAGAAATTGTCAGAGACAAGCTCATTTGATATGCTTCTTTCTTGCTATAGACAAGCATTTGCAGGTCCTCTCTAATGCTGCATCCGGATACCACAAAGTCCTTGAGGAGAACAGGAAGCTTTATAATCAAGTCCAAGACCTTAAAGGTAACCATCTTTGTTTTTAAAACTAATGTATTATTATCCTTAAAAATCAAAATTCATCCAAAATTGAATTTCTCTGTTTTAAATGCCCCCTATTAGGAAATATTAGGGTATATTGTCGGGTGAGACCTTTCCTACCGGGGCAACAAAGTGGTATGAGCACTCTTGGTCGTCTAGATGATGGAAGCATTACAATCATCACCCCTTCAAAATATGGCAAAGAAGGCCGTAAATCTTTTAACTTTAATAAAGTATTCGGCCCTTCAGCAACCCAAGGTTGATTTAATAATCCCTCAAATTGTCGGTACTTGGTATTTTTCAACTTACAATATACTCATGCCCACCAAACTTATTTTATGTTATGGCGCAGAGGAAGTCTTTGCGGATACCCAACCTCTAATTCGGTCTGTTCTTGATGGCTACAATGTGTGCATCTTTGCATATGGTCAGACTGGATCAGGCAAAACTTTCACTATGGTAAATACATCAAATATATATTGTACTTGTACATCAATTCACATGAATTTTTAAGCTAGTACCTAAACTGAAATATTGTGGAGTAATTTTTTATGGGTCTCTCATGCAGAGTGGACCTGACGAACTCAATGAACAAAGCATCGGAGTAAACTACAGGGCGTTAAATGACCTCTTTTATCTCTCAGAACAAAGAAAAGGCACATTTCATTATGAAATTTCGGTTCAAATGATTGAGATTTACAATGAGCAAGTGAGAGATCTCCTTGATAGTGATGGTCTTAACAAGAGATATCCTTTTATAAGCATATTTCTGGTTATCGATTCTTCCACCTTTTTTCTATATTATTTATTTAAATCAAATATACATCATTTCTTCTTCTTCTTCTTCTTCTTCTTCTTCTTTTTGTATATGACCAATTTCCTTTACATGTAACTACATTAGAAATACGTAACAGCTCACAAAATGGGCTCAACGTTCCAGATGCAAATGTGCTCCCAGTTTCATGCCCTTCTGATGTTATTGAACTGATGAATCTCGGGCATAGAAATCGTGCTGTTAGTGCAACAGCCATGAATGATCGAAGCAGTCGATCTCATAGGTCTGATTTTTCTAGAATCATATTCCTACTTCATTTATAGATCCACATATGCTTATCTATGTCGGATTTCCGAATGTATGCCCCTTAAATCATGCTTGTTTGCAAAACTAAAACTACCCCACCGATTGTCAATATTTCAAAACCATCCCCGGCCCCCCCCCCCCCACCCCCCGAACAAAAAGGCCAAATGCATCAACTTTGGCAAAATATACCTTGAAATCAACAAATCATCAATTTTGATAGGCTAATTCATAGTTGCATGGAACCTGGTTTCTTCTGGTTCACAGAATGGGAACGGAAGCGTGGTACGCCACTTATTTGGAATCATGTACGAGGGGACCAGGCTTACATGGTACGCTATCCATAGTTACATTAGGTTCAGTTTCTAAATGTAGGAATCTGAGTGCCTTCTGAACAATTTTCTGCATAGAGTCAAATTCAAGGATCGATAATGGTAAACACTTTTTGTTGTTTATCTGTCTGAAAATGGTTTTTTTCTTCAAAATATTAACTAATTTTAGTTCTTAATTGGGTATGCGGGTACATGACTCAATTCGCTAATGTACCGTGTTCCGAGACAATTAAACTCGGGTTGTGGTTCGCTATAGTATCCCACATTCCCGACATATATGGGCTAATTTGTGGCCGAAATGTAAAAATATCAACCAAATAGATAAGTTTTTATTATCATCATGTCCAAGTTGACAATTTATCGATTTTTTTTGGGGTGTTTTTCCCAGAGTTGATGATTTGGTGGGGGTTGTTTTGCAAATATTGAGATTTGGGGGGCAATTCTGCAAATATGCATGATTGAAGAGGTATTTGTACGAAAAATATCTTATAGTTATGATTATATATGTGATATGGGTGGATTTTTCTGGCAGCTGTTTGACCATTCATGTTAATGGGAAAGATATGACATCGGGCTCCACGTTTAGAGGGAGCATGCATCTAGTGGATCTTGCTGGTAGCGAAAGAGTAGACAAATCTGAAGTTAAAGGAGATAGACTTAAGGAGGCACAGCATATAAATAAATCTCTTTCAGCACTAGGAGATGTGATATCCTCACTTGCTCAAAAGAACTCTCATGTACCTTACAGGAATAGTAAACTCACACAGTTACTTCAAGATTCCCTTGGTAAGATATGAACTTTGATAATGCAGCCACATAAATGTCTCTTATCACCATATAATTAATCTTGCATTGTTTATGATATTTAGGAGGACAAGCGAAAACACTGATGTTTGTGCACATCAGTCCTGAGATGGATGCTGTTGGTGAGACTCTCAGCACGCTTAAATTTGCTGAAAGGGTTGCAAGTGTTGAGCTTGGTGCTGCAAAGCTAAATAAAGACAGTGGAGATGTTAAAGAACTCAAAGAGCAGGTCACTTTCAAGAGTCCTCATTGCATTCTTGAACGAATATACAGAATCTATTAGTTTTATGATTTTTCTTTCTCACTTCAGATAGCTCAACTTAAGGCGGCGCTGGCGAGGAAAGAGGGAGAATCGGAGCCCTTAAGAAGTACTATGTCGAGTCCTGATATGTTTAGAATGAAGAATAATTGTATAGAATCATCTGCAGAGGACCTTATGAGTAATCACAGGCAGCCAATGGAGGATGTCGGAAACCTGGAGGTAAGTTTGTCTATGCTAATTTGTTGAGCTTTAAAAATCCATGTTCTCAAGAACCCTCATAGTGAGAAACACTTTTAGTGTTAATACCTTTCAACACCGTGTGATGGAAAGTCGATGCTTGGACCCCTTTTCACTCTGCAATCAAGTTTAGGAACATATAATTCTTGGATATTTTTTGTAAAAAATAAAATTTTGATTTAATTATAAAACTGAACCCACTTAACATGTATTTACAAAAACCGGCCAACTTTCAGAAAGTTAGCGGTTTTTTAGAGTTGGTTATCTTTTGAACTTTCAGCTTTATTAAATACGTGGGACTGCAGTCTCGGGATATCTTTGACTTGGGCTGTCAGTACTCCCGGATATTTACAAATCAGAATTGAAGAAAAAACAACCAAATTTATGAAAGTTGGTCAAGTTTTGTATAAAATGTTAGTTTTGTCTTTTTTATTTGTAATAAAATAAAAAATTGGTCTTTTCTTAAAATTGTTCATAATTATTTCATCCTTTATACAGGTACCCGTAGCCTGGTACAATATAGCCACTATACCTAATTAACTAATATATATCGGTAATATTCCAGAAAGTTGAACTGAATAGTTGACAAATATTTTATGCCCTGCCCTGCATGTATTCAAATGATCTCCAGGCATAGAGCTGTAAGTAGGACAGAATAAAAACTAAGCATGCACATAATTTTTTTGATATCATTGTCCGACGTTATTCCCTCTTCAAGGGTCTTATTGCTTTCTTTCTATCCATAGCACCAATTTCTTGTTTCAGACGAGACTGTTTTTTCCACAACATGAAGGATATTTACTCATGTTCTCATTTTCTGCAGGCCCGAGGTAATTCTGCACTGAGGCAAAAGAAGCCTAATTTTGACCTCCAACAGATCCTAATGTCGGCTGATGACACTGAAATAGGTTCCCAAAATTGGGTCGATAAGATCATGGTAAACAAGCTCGAGTCTACAGTCAGGGATGATTCTATAAGGGACGATGAATCTATAAGAAATGATTTCTTTTACCAAAGATATCTACCTGATACAAGAAAAGAAATACCAGAATTTGATACACGTAGGAATCGATTTGATTATGATTCAGATGACTCCGAGATGGCAACAAGCAATTCCTCGGAAGTGGACATGCATTATCAATTTAGTCTACCAAAGGCTTTTCCAAGATCTAACATGAAGCAGCCTAAATCAAAGATCTCGAAGAGCCCAGATATTACAAGGTAATTTGCTTTCTCTTCCCAATAAATTTATCATGTCTAATAATGAAATAATAAGAATATCAGATTCTCAATGTCAGAATATTCTTAATAAATATGACTATGCTTATGAACTACACTCCTAAGTTGTATTGCTACATCCTCATCCATACACCAACTTGAAATCTTCATAAAATCCTTGAATAGATTGTGCCAGAGAATATATCTTTATACATGAATCAGTCTCCTTTTATTTCTTCACATAAAAGGTGATACAAATATCGATGGTACAAAAACTTAAGCAGTTAGGTAGTGGACGAACTTACTATTTTTGTCCAATGTGAGACTATACGCACACATGAATCCCCAACCAAACTAACCCAAAAACGTAAGCAGTTAGGTAGTGGACGAACTTGTAATTTTTGTCCAATGTGAGACTATACGCACACATGTATCCCCAAGTAACAACAAACGCCTAATCATGAATTCTAGTTTATCTTCTTCATCACGACATATAATGAATCTTATTTAATGCTTCATTTTAGCTTTATAGTGACATATACCCATAAGCAGCAGGACACCTTGGTTTAGAAAATGATATTGGTCTTTTATGTCTACTAATTTTTCCACTTCTCCCTCCCTACTGTACTTCTCCCTCTTCTCTTCATTCCTCTTCATGTATATTCTAGGATTAACTGCGATAGACCCCTGCACAATAGCCGAATTGCAGATAGATCTCTGGTAGTTCTGTTGTTGCAGATGGAGACCCCCTGAGTGGAACTTTTTGACTTTTTACCCTCAGAGAAAGAGGGATTTTTTTTTTTTTTTTTTTTTTTTTTACAAATAGACCTCATGAGAGTAAAAGACTCAAAATTTTATTCGGGGGGCTTATCCACAATTGAGTGGTGGTACAGAGGGCAATAGTGCAGGATGTTAATCCGCAATTAACCCTGTATTCTACAACTATTGTCTAGTTAATAAATTTCATTGCCATCTTGCCCCGGTTACTGAAAAAAATCATTTTTTTCATGTTACTTTTTGGTGTTCTCTAATGCAGGACTGCAAGTAATTCACACATCCCTTCTCCGTCTCGAAAAGTTTCAAACGGGGCGACGACCCAGACACCAAACCGGATGGTGAGGCCCCATTCAGCTGGCAGCGGCGAAAAGAAACGAGCAGTTTCCAACGGAAAGATTGTAAATGGGAAGTAGATTGATGATAAAAATAGAGGTTCTTGTTTGGCTTTCCTTTGGTTTTGGCTTGAGAGATTTTGAGTGGCAATAATTCCAGTTGCTTGTATCTGTAAGTATTTGGTGGTTGAGATCAGAATCAGGTATATATGCTTTAAGACTGGTCAGATTGTATCAGAACTTATTCTTTATTTTTCATGTTTATACTAGGAGAAAATTACAGGAAAAGAAAAGGAGAGGGGGAAAAAATGTATCAAGAAGGGCAGTGAAAAGAAAATCAAACAGTGGGTTTTTTTCCAAAATTTTGCAGCAACAGATTATGTGCAGTTCAAGCATTTTTCTCTCTATCTTATGCCTGATCTAAGTTCAACTTTGTAGAGTGTACACTATAGTGTATGTTTGGTTCTTAGCAGTTATTGCCATAAGAACACGCAAATTTGTTTTAACGACAAGTTGTTTTGTTATAGATGCAACAATTATATAATTTGCAATGTATATTTTTGGGTTAATTGCACATTGGTCTAATTTTTGTTCAGTAATGCGGACCATTCAGTTTCAGATCATACCGTAATTAGCATCACACAATGCAGGAAAGCCACTCATCAAATTGTTAGTCTAAGGTGTAGACCCAAAGTCGAGATAAGAACTGGAATCAAAACGACAAGAAAAACAAGCAGACGGATCTACGGTCGACCGCGACGGTCGATCGCGAACGTGCACAAAAGTTGGGAGGAGCTGAAGCTGAAGGCGGTCGACCGCGCTAACCCTGTAGAGTTTTTTGGTCTCAGGTTTTGATCGCGGTCGACCGCTCAACTCTCTGGAATTTCCGCAGTCGACCACGGCGCAGTCAAACAAAATCCTGTTCTGTTTTGGATTCTGTTTCACGCAGGATTCTATATATACCCCAAACGTTTTTAGGGTTTAAACAACACGAAAAAAGAGAGCTTTTTGACTGCAACGAGAGAGAGAATCTCAGAGAGATTAATCTCTTGTTTGAGAGCTTGTATTTTCTTCTTCAATTAATATAAGAATTGTGTGGTGTGGCTCCCGAGGACATAGGCACGTTGCCGAACCTTGTTAAATCGGTGTGTTCGTCTCCTTTACCAATTTTGCAAGGTTAGATCTTTATGTGTGGCATTTTTTCCTACTTTCCTACTTTCAACACAAGGTTCGTAAGGGCAAGGTTCGATTTGACTGTTTCGAACCCCAACAACTGGTATCAGAGCTTCGTTCAGCAATTTGTGTGAAAGCCATGGCAGAGGAAAACAAATCAAAGATCGAGAAGTTTGGAGGTTCAAACTTCGCCTACTGGAAGTCGCAGATGGAGGACTATCTGTACCAGAAGGACTTGTATCGCCCGTTGATGGGCAAAGAAAAGGAAAAGAAGAAGGAGGAGTCAGATGGTGATTGGGAGATACTGGATAGGAAGGCTCTAGGGCAAATCCGATTGTCGCTTGTCAAATCAGTAGCCCACAATATTCTGAAGGAGAAAACGACGGTAGGGCTTATGGAAGCGCTCGCGAAGATGTACGAGCAACCGTCGGCAGCAAACAAGGTGCATCTCGTCAAAACTCTTTTCAACCTTAAAATGGCAGAATGACGGTCCTTCACGATGCATCTCAGCGAGTTCAACACGATTATTGATCAACTTATCTCTGTGGACATCGCGTTCGATGACGAAGTGCAGGCCAGGTTATTACTATCGCAGTTGCCGGATAGTTGGGCAAGTTGTGTGATGACTATCAGCAATTCGGTGGGGAAGGACAAGTTGAAGCTGAACGAAGTTGTGAGTATGATTCTATCCGAGGAGGTTAGAAGAAAATCGTCCGAATAAGAGGGTTCAGGTTCAGCTCTAAGTTTTGAGCAGAGAGGCAGAAGCCAGAAGAAAGGGAACCAGAACAGGAATCGGTCGAAATCAACAAAGAAGAGGTCAAACTCAAAAGTTAGAACCATCAAAGGGAAGTGTTTGAACTGCGGCCAGGAGGGCCATATGTCTTCGGTCTGTAAAGCGCCAAAGAAGGATGCAGGTGAGCAGGAGGCTCATATCGTGCATGATGCATTGATCCTTGCTATGGACAGCGATTCTGATTCTTGGGTCATCGACTCAGGAGCTTCTTTTCACGCCACTGTTAATAGGAAACTTCTTCAAAACTATGTAGCAGGGGACTTTGGTAAGGTAACTTGGGGGACAATAAGCCTTGTAATATTGTTGGAAAGGGCGACGTTCAGATACAGATGAAGGGCTCTAAGTGGAACTTGAAGAACGTGAGACATGTGCCGAAGCTGAAGAGGAATCTTGTTTCGTTGGAACAGCTTGGAGCAGAAGGCTACGTTTCGACATTCACCGGGGATTCGTGGAGAATCTCGAATGGTACGATAGTTGTTACCCGAGGTAATAAAACAGGAACTCTCTACCTTACTTCACATGCGAGTGACACCCTCGCAATTACAGCTGACAAGGAAAGTACAGATTTGTGGCACAATAGGCTGGGACACATGAGCGAGAATGAGATGAAAATTCTACATTCACAAGGGAAGCTAACCGGCATTGATTCAGTGGAAGTCGGTGTTTGTGAGTACTGCATCTTCGGGAAGCAGAAGAGAGTTAGTTTCCAGAAGGGTGGAAGGCCACCTAAGGCTCAGAAGCTAGAATTGATTCATACAGATGTATGGGGTCCAGCTAGTGTGTCTTCTCTTGGCAGTTCGAGATACTACGTCACCTTTATCGACGATCACTCGAGGAAGGTGTGTGTTTACTTCATGAAGCACAAGTCAGAGATGTTCGAAATCTTCAAGAAGTGGAAGGCCACGATCGAGAATGAGACAGATCTGAAGGTGAAGTGCTTGAGATCAGATAATGGTGGAGAATACGAGCTGGAGGAGTTCAAGAGGTTCTATGCTATGAATGTGATTCGTTTAGAGAGAACTACTCCAGGTACGCCGCAGCAGAATGGTGTTACAGAGAGGATGAACAGGACCTTGGCAGAGCGTACGCGGAGCATGCGATTACATGCAGATCTGCCTAAGACATTTTGGGCGGACGCGTTGCATACAACAGCTTACTTTATTAATCACGGGCCATCGGTTCCATTAGATTTTGGGATTCCAGAGGAGGTTTGGAGTGGCAAGAAGATAAATCTCTCACACTTGCGGGTATTTGGCTGCGTGGCATATGTTTATATCAGTGACCATATCAGGGACAAGCTAGAGCTAAGTCACAGAAGTGTACATTCATTGGATATGGCGTTGATGAGTTTGGATATCGTCTGTGGGATGAGAAGAACAGGAAGATCATCAGGAGCCGGGATGTGATATTCAATGAGGAGGTGATGTACAAGGACAGAGACAATGCCAAGGATAGCTAAAGCAGTGGGAGCAGTACTACGGATACAGGTGGATCCGAGTACATGGATTTGGAGGAACTTCCAGATAAGGGCAACAGCGTTAGTTCTGACCGTAGAACGGAGGAGACTCCAGGAGCAGAAACTACTACCCAGGACGTGGATTTTAGGAGGTCATCCAGGGTACCCAAACCTAACCCCAAATACCTCTCATCACTTGATTATCTACTCTTGACAGATAGTGGAGCCGGAGTACTATGAAGAGGCAATACAAGTGAGTGAATCTTAGCAGTGGGAGCATGCGATGCAGGAGGAGATGGATTCTCTACTCACTAATGAGACATGAGAGTTAGCCCAGCTACCTGCGTAGAAGAAAGCCTTACACAATAAATGGGTCTACCGGGTCAAGCAGGAAAGTAATGGAAGCAAGAGGTACAATGCCAGATTAGTCGTGAAGGGGTTTCAACAGCGGGAAGGAGTAGATTACACAGAGCTATTTTCCCCTGTTGTGAAACTCACAACCATCAGAGTGGTGTTGAGTTTGGTGGCTGCAGAAGACCTCTTTCTTGAACAGTTATATGTAAAGACTGCCTTTCTTCATGGTGACTTGGATGAAGAAATCTACATGAAACAACATGTTGGTTTCATTAAGAAATGAAAGGAAGAGATGGTGTGCAAGCTCAATAAGAGCTTATATGGTTTGAAACAGGCTCCGAGACAGTGGTACAAGAAGTTTGATTACTTCATGCAGAGCAATGGCTAAAGAATATGCAATTCAGATCACTGTTACTACTTCAAGAGGTTCGAGTCCAGCTTTATCATATTGTTATTGTATGTTGATGATATGTTGGTAGCAGGACCGTGTTTAGAGGAGATCAATAGCTTAAAGAAGCAGTTGGCTAAGGAATTTGCAATGAAGGATCTAGGTGCAGCTAAGCAAATTTTAGGGATGCGAATCAGTAGGGATGAAGCTGAAGGGACACTGAGATTGAGCCAAGCTGAATACATTAAGAAGGTACTTCAGAGGTTCAACATGCAGAATGCTAAAGTTGTTAGCACACCCCTTGGAGGTCAGTTCAAGCTATCTGAGGAGCAATCGTCTAAGACAGATGCAGATAGAGAGCATATGAGCAGGGTGCCATATTCTTCGGTCATTGGGAGCCTTATGTACGAGATGGTTTGCACGAGGCCGGACATCGCCCATACAGTGAGAGTTGTGAGCAGATTTGCAAGCAATCCAGGGAAGCAGTATTGGGAGGCCGTGAAGTGGATAATGCGGTACTTGAGGGGGACAACGAACAAGCCACTATGTTTCAGGAGGAAGGAGTTAGTGCTGCAGGGATACGTAGATGCAGACTTCGTCGGTGATCATGATACGAGGCGAAGCACCACGTGTTATGTTTATACCTTAGCGTTGACAGCAGTGCGCTGGGTCTCACATCTGCAAAAGATTGTAACTTTATCTACAACCGAGGCTAAGTATGTTGCGGTGACTGAAGCAAGCAAGGAGATGATATGGTTGAACGGGTGCTTGGAAGAGTTGGATCTGAAGCAAGGGAGATGAGTTCTTTATTGTGATAGCCAGAGCGCTATACATCTTGCCAAAAATCCAGTATATCATGCTAAAACGAAGCACATCGACGTTAAATACCATTTTATACGCTCGCTAGTTGAAGATGGAAAGTTGCATTTAATGAAGATTTTGGAGAGATAAAATCTGGCGGACATGTTGACGAATGCAGTCACCATTGAGAAACTAGAGTTATGTGCAACTTCAGTTGGCATTCACAAGTAGAAGACGAAGGCGGAGCCATACTACGAGGATCGGCGCGATCGTCGGGATATTGTTGATTAAAGAAAGAGTTTTTTCGAGGGAAAAGATACATGCGAAGGAGGGAGAGTTTGGGTGAACTCATTGCAGGCACTTTGGTCTCCAAATGAGAGATTGTTAGTCTAAGATGTAGACCCAAAGTAGAGACAAGAACTGGAATCAAAACGATAAGAAAAACAAGCAGACAGATCCACGGTCGACCGCGACGGTCGACCGCGAATGTGCGAAAATTGAGAGGAGGCTGAAGTGAAGGCGGTCGAACCGCGGCGGTCGCCGCACCAACCCTGTAAAGTTTTTTTGGTCTCCGGGTTTTGATCGCGGTCGAGCCGTGCGCTCG